CACCATAATAACTGCACCCTGGGCCGCATCTTTTCCAATTCTAAAATGATTCAATGATGCGATGAGGGCCAGATGTCACCTCACCTGTGCTGGGGTTTGTACCATAAAGATAGAGAACCCGAAGAGAATCTGAAGGTCCAGACAGAAGAGGGACAGCTGTTCCCCTATTTCCATTCTGAGACAGAGATAGGGGATAATGTCATTTTAAAGGAATGATTTATTTATTTATTTATGTGAAAGAATACAGAGAGAGAGGGAGAGCAATCTTCCATTTGCTGGTTCACTCCCCAAATGGCTTTCAATGGCCAGGGCTGGGCCAGGCCAAAGTCATGAGCCAGGAGCTTCTTCCAGGTCTCCCATGTGGCTAGATGCCCAACCACTTGTGCCATCCCAGGCCATTAGCAGGGAACTGGATCCAAAGTGGAGCAGCTGCGACATGCACCCATAGTGGGTGCCAGTGTCATAGGCAGCAGCTTAACTTGCTGTGCCACACTCTGGCCCTGAGGATAAGGTAATTCTACAACTCCTACAGAAACACAAGGGGTCCAGAATAACCAAACAAATTGGAAAAAGTAGGACACAGTTGAAGGATTAACAACATTTAACTTCAAGACTTATTATAAAACTATAGTAATCAAGACCATGTGGCTTTGGCATTAAGATAGATTTTAAAAAATCAATTGGTGAGAATAGAGAGTTCAAAACTAAATTCACACGTACACAGACAATTGATTTTTGAGAAAGGTGCAAAAGCAATTCAGTGAAGGAAAGATTGCCTTTCCAGCAAACAAGCAGTATGATCAGATGTCCATATGTGACGAAATAAACTTCAATCACAACATATCAAAAATTAACTCTAAATGAATAAATGAACTAAAACTTCTAGAAGAAAAATCTTTGTGTCCTTAGGTTAATGACTATTTCTTACCTGTACCACAAAAACATAATATTTTGTTTAAAACTGATAAATTGTACCTCTACTTCTGCTGTTTTCAAAATACTATTACAAGAATAAAAATACAAATCACAGACTAGAAGAACCATTTGCATCTTACCTATCTGAGAAAAGACAAATACAAAGTATGTAAAAAGCTCTCCAAGCCCATTCATGAGAAGAGATGGAATCCAGTGGTTAGAAAAGGCTGGCCAAAATGTGCGTTAGCTACTACATCAATGAAAATATGTGAGTGCAAACTCTCTCACAAGAATACGCTCCTCGTCGTTAGCCTCTGAGGAAACTCGAGACAAAGCATGAGCTGAACTACCTTGTCTACACTCCCGAGCAGTGGTTTTTCTACTCACTACTTGTTGAATTCTTTACTCGGTGGAGAGTGAAGCTTGTGATTATAAAGTAAATCGAAAGTACGTCATTATAAAAATTTAAAAGAAAAATAACAAAGGAAGGAGGAGGGAGGGAGAGAGGGGAAGGTGAGAAGCATCACTATGCTCTTAAAAGTGTATATGAAATACCTGAAATTCGTTCCTTCCTTACAAATAAAAATTTAAGAATAACTAAAATGTGAACATCTGACTATGTCATGAGTTGGCAAGGGTGTGGAGTAACTGAAACTCCTGTATATCATTAGTAGAAATGAGCAACCACTTAGGATAAATAGTTCACTAGTTTCTTAAGAAGTTAAATATATTTCTACCATATCTTCCAGCTTTTCCAGATTTCTGAGAGAAGGAAAGGCAATCTATCAATGCAAAGATTCTATTAGCATGCTTAAAAGAGGATTTTCTCATAATCTCCCAAAATGGGAACCAACTGAAATAAATGTGTTCTGACTGGTGAGTGGATAACCAAATTTTGATTCATCTATGAGATGGACTCCTAACAATAGAGAAAAATGAATTATTGCTACACACACCAAAGATAAATCCCAAATAATTATGCTCACTAAAGAGGCTAGAACAACACTATACATATACACTTTATGGCACTATGTATATAAAATTATAAAAATTAAAATTAATCTTTAGTGAAAGTTGAGTGGTACTTGATGGGATGGTGGGAGGGAGAGTATTGCAAAGGAAATCGAGCAGTTTTGAGAGGTGATAAAAATTTCCTTATTTTGAGTTGATGAGTATGTAAACATATCAGATGATTAACTTTTTTTTTTTTAATTTTTTTTACAGGCAGAGTGGACAGTGAGAGAGAGAGAGACAGAGAGAAAGGTCTTCCTTTGCCATTGGTTCACCCTCCAATGGCCGCTGCAGCCGGCGCACCGCGCTGATCCGATGCCAGGAGCCAGGTGCTTATCCTGGTCTCCCATGGGGTGCAGGGCCCAAGCACTTGGGACAACCTCCACTGCACTCCCTGGCCACAGCAGAGAGCTGGCCTGGAAGAGGGGCAACTGGGACAGAATCCGGCGCACTGACCGGGACTAGAACCCGGTGTGCTGGTGCCGCAAGGCGGAGGATTATCCTAGTGAGCCGCGGCGCCGGCTCAGATGATTAACTTTAAACACATAAACATTATTACATGTCATTAAAAAATATGTCTTCCAAGAATTCTTTGAAGTAGTTTGGTGAATGACTGGATGCACTTGGTGAGGAAACAAAGAATCAAGAAATTCCCAGGTTTCTGTCTTATGCCCCCAGCTGAATGACAGGGTCATTTCTGAGACTGGCAGGAATGATAACATCTTTGGAAGGTTGAGGAATGGAGGTGAACGTTATGAGTGTTGTTTGGGACACTGTGATCCCAGGATTTATGTCAAGGATGACACGCAGAAGCAGGGCTTCTAAGAGCTGGACAGATGAGAGCAAAAAAGGGAGATCTGGGCCGTTGCTGCGGCACAGCGCGTAAAGCCGCCGCCTACAGTGCTGGCATCCCACATGGGCGCCAGTTCAATCCCGGCTGCTTCACTTCCAATCCAGCTCTCTGCTATGGCCTGGAAAAGGTTTTTTGTCTCCCTCTGAAACATTTTTTTTTTTTTTTTTTGACAGGCAGAGTGGACAGTGAGAGAGAGAGACAGAGAGAGAAAGGTCTTCCTTTTGCCGCTGGTTCACCCTCCAATGGCCGCCGCTGCAGCCGGCGCACCGCGCTGATCCTGGCAGGAGCCAGGAGCCAGGTGCTTTTCCTGGTCTCCCATGGGGTGCAGGGCCCAAGCACCTGGGCCATCCTCCACTGCACTCCCTGGCCATAGCAGAGAGCTGGCCTGGAAGAGGGGCAACCGGGACAGAATCCGGCGCCCCAACCGGGACTAGAACCCGGTGTGCCGGCGCCGCAAGGTGGAGGATTAGCCTATTGAGCCACGGCGCCGGCCCCTCTGAAACATTTTAAAATTGAAAAGTAAGTAGGCAAAAAGAAATCTATAGAATTTGTTATGTGCCAGGTATTTATGTTTTAATTTTATATTAATTGATTTTTTTCATCACAATAAGTCTGGGAAAGCAGCAGAGGATGGCCCAAGTCCTTGGGCCCTTCACCCACGTGGGGGACCCGGAAGAAGCTCCTGGCTCCTGGCTTCGGATCTGCGCAGCTCTGGCCGTTGAGGCCAATTAGGGAGTGAACCAGCGGATGGAAGACCTCTCTCTCTCTCTCTCTCTCTCTCTCTCTCTCTCTCTCTGCCTCTCCTTCTCTCCATGTGTAAATCTGACTTTCAAATAAATAAAAAAATCTTTAAAAAAAAGGTGGGGGGGTGGATCAACAGATATCCTGTGGGCTCTGTCATGAGAGGGCATTGGAAAACAAGCACATGGGCCATCAACACCCCTGCCACGTGAGATGTCTGTGATGGGAGGCCTTCAGGAACAGTGATTTGATGTGAACATAATGATGTAAAGGAATATTCAGTTACCCGTGTGTTGGGCCAAGTCCCAAAACACTCAAGAAAGAGCTTGAAAAACAAGGAAAATGAGTGATACAGTACGAAGAGACAAATAATGCAAAGACTATAATGCAGAGGGTGATGAATGGAGAGGCTGGGACCAAAGCATGACAAGCAAAACAGAGACATGAGAAAGTGTTACCTTAGGGACAGTGGTTAAGGCGCCTGTGTGCCATAGAGGAGTGTCTGGGTTCCATTCCAGGTTCCAGGTAACACTCTCTCTCTCTTTTTCTGATTCTCCACCTGTCAAATAAGTAATTTTTTCATTAAAAACTTGTTGTGTTAGTCTTAATCGTTGCCAGGAAATGGGCCTCACAGAATTCAGACTTGGAGAGGTGGGAATGAATACAAAGGCAGGGAGAGCAGTTCTGTCTCTTCTTGGTCCATAGAAGAGTGGTGGCCACCATCACTGCCGGTGAGGGTGAGCCAGAGCCCAGGGGCAGGTAGCTGATGGGAAGAGAGGAAATGAGGGTTCTTCAGACAGGCTCTCGGCATGGAGTCATTGCACTCTATTAAAAGATGAATATAGGGCTGTTGAAATTGAAAGCTTATTTATTGTGCTCCAATTCTCAGGTGATGCTAATGCTGCTGATATTTCACATACTAGGACCTAGGAAAACATGCTTATCTTTTTCATCCTTTCCATATGAAAGCACAATAGGAAGGTCCTTTGGGTTGAGATTTTTCCAAATGGTCGTGTTTGCTTTTAGTGAGAAAATACAAGACATGTCATCCCTGGAATATTAAAACTCAAAACAATAAAAAAAAAACTAAAAAAAAAATCTTGAATCATTTGTGACTGCAAACATCACCCTTGCATCTTTCAAAACATTTTAGTTTCACTCAAGCACTAGTTCCTTGTGATTTTTCCTCTTAACGTTATTGGAAAGCAATTTCTATGGTAAACCTGAATGCCTTCTAAGGACACAGAATCTTTTGAATGGATTTAAAAACATTGTTTGTTTGGTAGAGCACATTGATAGCTTCAAGTTTAATCATAAGTCCTTTAGAGGTAGAGCAATTGTTTAATCTTCTACGTTGATTAGCCTCAGTACACCTTCCAGATAAAGTATGAAATTAGGTACAAATTGTTTTTTACTCCCCTCTCTGCAGTTACTTGAAAATGACCTTTCAGTCAGCTGATAAGCAGGGCCAGCGTTGAGACCGAGGAGGTCACATGACACAAAAATTGCTGAAGGTCTACCAGAAGGACAAATGAAATGCACACACCCGGGCTGATTTAGCAGCCTCCCAGCTGTGCAGAGACGGAGGCTTTTCTTGGGTAAGAACCGGTGACTCCAGGTACATCCTCATTTTTGCATGCTACAGCCCTGGATATGGTGCACATTTTGTCGAGGTTCTCTTCATACTGATGACTGAAAAGTCAGATGCATGTGCGTACCTTTAAGCTTTTCTACTTCCTCACCTGCAGGATTCCTGAGAACTTGTGCCCTGAGAGATGACCAGGAATAAACAACTGGGGACGCTCAAGTGTACAGCACTTATGAGTGAGAATTAATATCTCTATTTTTATCTCTCTCTCTATGTATATTGATCTTCTCTCTTTCCTTTGGAGAGTTCTCCAACAAATCTTCTAAAAAGATTTAAGTATGTCAATGTCATTTCCTCAACTCACTCTAGCTGTTTAAAGCAAAAGAAGCACTTTTTACAGAGTAATAAAAGCTTTGCAAATCACATGAGACGAGAAACATTCTAGGTTGGGGCCAGGGTTGTGGCTCAGCAGGTTAAGCTGCTGCTTCTAACACCAGCATCCCATATCAGAGCGTCAATTCCAGCCCCGGCTTCTCTGCTTCTGGTCCAAGCTCCCTGCTAATGCACCTGGAGAGGCAGTGAAAGATGGCCCAAGGTCTCGGACGTTGTCGCTCCTGTGGGAGACTTGGATGGAGTTCTTGGCTCCTGGCTTCAGCCTGGCCCAGCCCTGGCATCTGGGGAGTAAACCAGTGGATGGAAGAGCTTGCTTGCTCTCATCCAGAAATTCCCCAAGCCACAGAACCCAGCCGGGTCATAAGGGAGCTGGTAGGGAGTGGGAGTATGTGTGGCTGCCAGGAAAACACCACCACTGCCACCGTTGCTTCTTTGCCTCCCTCCCACTTCCTTCAGGTCGGAGTGCGGGCTTCTCATGAGTCTTCTTGACAGAACCTGAGTCATCTGGAACTCGGACTGCCTGAGAGTCTGAAAAGTGCTGCTTTTTGCATTCTGGTCACTGCAGCTCAGGCAGGAGGTTGAAATGAGCACAGAGTAGGCAAAAACCACGAGATCAGTCATTGTAAATCATAAGAAAATGGGCACGGATTTTAAACTCACCCAAATGGGCCTCTGGAACCCCGGCTTTTGGCCCCTGCCCAGAGTATCACCCTGATAATGCACGAAGTCATTCCCTCTGCACAGAGTCAGCTGTCCACCACCCACTGCACTCCCTGTACCAGACCTATCCCAGAAACCTCCTCAGAGGCACTTGAACTCACTTGCCCCTGTCTCTGCCCACCCAAACTGCTGCTTGCGCTGATTCCTGATGGCAGGAACTCAGCCATGGTTGACTGACTCCTGCCCTTCCAAAGGTCAGAAAGCCCTGCAGACTCATCAGCTGGCCCCCTAGTTGTCTCTGTCTTCCCTGCAAACACCAGGGAGAAAAGGCCAGGCCTCCGTCACTCTCTTCTCGGCCACAATGGCTCCAGCGACTGAGTCAGATCCCAGCAGTCACCACTTTGTTGGCTGGAGCAGACGTGAAAAGCAGGAGACAGACAGAAGCCAAGAAGTAGATTGTTCACCCTGTTTTTCACCGAAGGTCTGTTGCTCAGAGCTGTGACCTCGAGGGTCTCTCTGGAGATGTTCTGCATAACTGAGTAAAACCTTTTGCATCTCCTGCAACCAGAACGCAGTACCATGACTTTTTTTTTTTTAATCTTCCTGTTTTTCTTCATTATTAATCTGGTATGGTACTCCACAACAAAGCCTGTGCTCATAAGATTAATCGCAGGCTCTTTTCCCAGGAAAGCAGGCTAAGATAACACAGCACAGAGCATTCCCTGGATGTGGGACGATATTTCCTCTTTGTCAGCCCACATCCCACTTCTCTTTAAGATCTGTCTCAAAACACCCCCAGCACAGGAATCCATACTTCACGGACCACTTCAGCACTTACCTCATTCACTGTTCATTTCTCTGGAATGTTTCTTGTTTTGCACAAACTTGACTACTCACCTTCCACAAGGTGGTAAGAGCATAGACCTTTTTTTAAAAGATTTATTTATTTATCTGAAAATCACAGTTACACAGAGAGAGAAGGAGAGGCAGAGAGAGAGAGAGAGAGAGAGGTCTTCCATCCACTGGTTCACTCCCCAGTTGGCCGCAACGGCCAGGGCTGCACAGATCCAAAGCCAGGAGCCAGGAGTCTCTTCTGGGTCTCCCATGAAGGGGCAGGGGCACAAGGACTTGGGCCATTTTCCACTGCTTTCCTAGGCCATAGCAGGGAGCTGGAATGGAAGTGGAGCAGCCTGGTCTTAAACTGGCACCCATGTGGGATGCCAGCACTATAGGTGGTGGCTTTACCTGCTATGCCACAGCCCCAGCCCCAGACCTTCTTTTGAATGATACACCTTTTTAGTGGCAGTAACACACTGACTTAGGAATGAGAGTGTACCCAGTGTGGGAGCAGTTGTGGAGGTGAGGGGTCCATCCACGCCCTTGGCCTCTGCCTTCCTTCCCTTGGCATTTCATTTAAACCAGTTGTCTTCCTGGGGCAGCTGCACCTTTCCAGGAGCAACCTGCTGCACTTCCCTCCTTGAGTCCTGCCCTATAATTGCAAGGATTCTGCTCATTGCACATAGTTCTCTTTCCACTGCCCTAATCTTCACTACTTCCCTGATAAAAGAGTAATCCCAAATTATTAATGACTTCAGGGGGAACACCTTAGGATGTATTTGTATCTTTAAGATATCCTGTGGAAGCTGGTGCTGTGCCACAGCGGGTTAAAGCCCTGGCCTGAAGCGCCGGCATCCCATATGGGTGCCAGTTTGTGTCCTGGCCGCTCTACTTCCAATCCAGCTCTCTGCTATGGCCTGGAATAGCAGTGGAGGATGGCCCAAGTCCTTGGGCCCCTGCACCTGCACAGGAGACCAGGAAGAAGCTCCTGGCTCCTGATTTCAGATCGGCTCAGCGCCAACCATTGCAGCCATTTGGAGAGTGAAACAGTGGAGGGAGGACCTATCTCTCTCCTCGTCTCTACCTCTCTCTGTCACTCTGTCTTTCAAATAAATAAAAATAAATCTTAAAAAGAAACTATCAACTCCCAACTTGACTCTCACTGGGATTAAACATGACAATAGGTCTGATCTGATTTCATCATCATTTAAAAAAAATCATCTATTATTTTTCACTTTATGTTTCTGTGTGGGAGCAAACTGTTGAAATCCTTACTTAAGGTATACTAAGCTGATCTTCTGTATATTAAGATAATCGAAAATGAATCTTGATGTGAATGGAAGGGGAGAGGGAGTGGGAAAGGGGAGGGTTGTGGGTGGGAGGGACGGTATGGGGGGGAAGCCATAGTAATCCATTATTCGTACTTTGGAAACTTATATTCATTAAATAAAAGTTAAAAAAAAAAAATCCCGTGAACAATTTAATGGAAAAAAACTTTCAAAGCAAGATGATTTTAATTAAAGATTACAACATAAACTTTCAACATGGCAGAGCTCCACAGTGTATTATGTTGTTGATTGTTACCTACTAAAAACACCAACGTTATTGTTAGTGTGATGTCATTACCTCTGTGTTTTAAAAATTTGCCATCTGAATTATTGTACTTTGGAAAGTCACCAGAAAGTTACACCCAGAATTTATAGGGAGGCCTGTTAAGATCTCCCCAAGGCTCTGGGCCGGTAAGGGAAGAAGACTGAAACACTAACCCAGAATTTTCTAGGTCGCATCCACTCTGGTCCCACTTTCCCTGACTGTGTAAGAAACAGAGCCTCCATGACAAGGGAACAAAGATTCAGCATTACCTCTGAGATAAGTCCCTTCAAATGGGGTCAGTTGATAGGGACAACAATCAGTGTTTGGTGCTGGAAACTCCTTTTATCTGCCTGATTGATTTGTCTTGTTTGTTTGAACAAAGACTGTTTCATAGCAGAAGTTAAGAACGCAGCATCTAGCAAATTCACGACCGGGCTTTAAGTATCAAAACTACAGCTGTCAATAAAAATATTGTAGTCTTTATTAAACATAAAATTTATTTTAAATTCATCTTTTTACTGTCACAAGGAGATGATGGAGTTATTTGTAAACAAAAATCTTAGAGGAAGACAGATTTAATTCAATTTTTCTCTTCATTGCTTTGACTAGTATAAAATGTTAAAAAATATATTTATTGCAGCTCAATTCACAATAGCTAAGACATGAGATCAACTCAAATGCCTGTCAATTGAAAACTGGATAAAGAAATTATGGGATATGTGCACTGTGGAATACTACACAGTGGTAAAAAAATGAAATCCAGTCATTTGCAACAAAATAGATAAATCTGGAAAATATCATCCATAGTGATATAAACTAGTCCCAAAGAGACAAATACCACATGTTCTCCCAGACCTGTGATAACTAATCAAGCACCTAAAAGGCAATCTGTAGAAGTGAAATTGACATTGGAAAAGCAATGACTTGAACAGCCCATGTCTTGACTGAGGAACAGTTTTTTCTTGATACTATTTGTTGAACTCTTTGCTTAACATAGAATTAAATAGGTATATAAAGTTATTCAAAAAAAGATCTCAGTAAAAAAATAACAGTGGGAATTAGGAGGGAGGAAGAGGGGTAGGAATAAGGGTGGGAGGGCAGGCATGGTGGGAAGAATCATCATGTTCCTAAAGTTGTAACTATAAAGTATATGAAGTTTGTAACTGTAAAGTTGTATAGTTCCACACACATTCCTATGGACTTACTTCTAAGGGTACAGTTTAAAAACTTGCTATAGGGCCCAAATCCCCTTAAGCTGGGGGTAAAAATACCATCTTAAGTGTTAGAGTGATCATATGGATAGAATTAAGTGTCTGGTAATACTAACAGATAGAATTAAAAAGGAGGGAATGCGCCAACGTGGGAAGCAATCCTCACAGCAGACTCATAGAATGACAATTGCTTTAAGTAGTACTCTGACCTCAGAAACAGCCCTTAAGGCATTCTGGTCTGGCTGAAAAACCCACAAGAGCATTTCAGGCATGGAAAGCCAAGACTGTAGCAAAAAATGCCTACATGAAGGACCTGTGTGGGTGAGACCCTGGTGGAAAAAAGTGGTCATCAAAGAAGGAGGTACTTTTCTCTGAAGGGAGGAGAGAACTTCCACTTTGCTTATGGCCTTGTCTAAATATTGACAGAGTTTGTGGATTCAAAAGGCTTCCATAGCCTAGGCAGCTCATGTCAAGGGCCCTAGGGTGATCACTGACATCACACATGAGTGCTGTTAAATTTATGACAGGAGTCACTGTGCACT